TTCTCTATAAAGTACCCCAATAGGCAATTTCTCCACTCAACACAACCTTTTATGGCAACCTCTTTTGGGAGTTTAACAATCACTATGTTATTCACTCTACTTGGTTCATGGTAATGAAGTTTCATAGTAACAAGGTTAGGCTCTTGCTGAAATGAGGCAGCAGAGAGACCCACTATCCTGCCATTCTTAACAATTTGATCCCAAGGAAGGGACAAACTTGGTGTTGCTTGGTGGTTAACTCCCACTGAGCTAGGATGGAGTGGCTGCTTCCTATTTGAAAGGACTGTGAGACTCGTACTAGAGTTAGGATTGGTGGCCACGTCCAGAATGCTTGTAGATCTGGTCTTTGGAGCTGGGACCAAGACTGAATTTGGTGAGATAAAGGGGATGAGACCTAGGCTATTCAGATCGATGGCTTGCAATTTCTCCAGTGGGGGGTCGTTTCTAAATCTGGTCTCTAGTGGGAGGTCTTTTGTAGTGGAGATGCCACTAGATTCAAGTGTGTGTGTGTGTGGGGGGGGGGGGGGGGGGACCCATATCTTGAAATGAGAGTGGGATTTACAGGATGGGGCCCTTGGGTGGGTGCCCTAGATTTGGGAGAACTATTGTTGGCCATTTAGGTGGGGGAATGGGTAGGTGAAACTAATAGCAAAGTAGAAAGGAATGAATGTTGAGGGAAGTCAAGGTAAGGATGGAGGGGAGGAGAGGGTGGGATGCCATTATTGGGAGGTTTGCTTGTTTTTTTCTATATTCTTCTTCTCATAACAAAATAAACTTTACATGTGATATGGTGTGAAAGATAAAAAAATAGAAAGTACAACACTTAAAAATTATTTGTCAGTATCATAGTTGCGCTGCTACAAAATGTACATATTTGAAACTATATTTATTTCAATATAATAAATAAAAATTATTTAGCTCAAAAAACTTTTGATTGACTCATGTATGTAGTAACTCTAAATATTCCCTCCATACTTTTAAAATTTTCTTAACATTAATACATGATTATTAAATAACTCAAAACACAAAAATAGCCATCTATCTGTACCTATTATCTAGATATGTATATTCTAAACTTCGATATAATTAAACAGTACTTAATAGATAAAATAAAAACTTCTAAATGTCAAGATGTTTAATTTTTTTTTGAAATGTTAGATTACCTTTAAAACATACATTAAGACAACACTTTCATTCTAAAATAGATATAAAATATTTTATTTTGTTTTTCCTTATAATTCGATTGTCTCTCATAAATATCTTATTGATATAACATACATATTGTTATTAGAACGAAATTTGAGAACCTATTATATTATGATCATCAGATTAGTAATGAGTCTAACATTGTATGAAAGTCACTTATAATCCAATAATTACAATGTAGAACGTTCTGACATTAATTAAAAATATCGTTATTAATGTTCATCTAATCACAGATCGAACAAGACGTATTATTAGTAGAACTAAAAATATGGTACTGATAAACGCCTGCGAAAAGCAGGTTCACAATTAACCTACACCAATAAAGATAAAAAGAGAACCAGACAATCTACATTGACCAATGGAAATCTCTGTGTTTCAAACGAAATTCAAGACGAAAACGACTGTTCATATCAGGAAAATCAATGTTGCTTCGAAGTGGAGATCACGCGGCTGAGTTCCATTTGATTCAGATAGATGCCATCAATCTGCTGCAACAGCTAAACAAGTTCTCTTTATTAGTTTTGTTCACTTGTGCCCCTTAGTTCTCCTGCCCACTAACGACACATCTTTATCACATTATATCAGCATTCTGCATATTTTATCTCTCTATGGGGAAAAGGGAGGGAGAAGGAGATGAAATTGGAGCTCGTCACCAGATAGGGACGGGAGTGAGCCACTACCACTGAGCCACTCTTTCACCTCAAACCCTCTCTCTCTCTCTCTCTCTCTATGTATGTGTATGTATGAGAATGAGTGTGAGTGTGAATATGTATGACTTCTTTTTTGCTGAAGTTTCATTTAATGGTGTGTCCTTTCTGAAACAGAAGTGGGTTTGAGTTGCATGAGAAGGATGTTGAGAAGTGTGAATTTTATACATAATTGGGTATGCAGATTTGTCTGTGCTTGTATGCATGCTTGTGCAAAGAGGATACATTATGTACATATACAGCCTAGAGAAGGGCAAAGCTGTCCTTTTATGCCTAAGAAAGCAAACGAGAGCATTTTGGTTGTTACTGATCAGATGCTCTCTGCTTGTCCTATCAACAATCATGTGTGCCTCATCACAGATTGAAGCATGCATTTTTTTTTTTTTTGAATAATGCTAGGGATACCAAATCACATGCTAATTGGGTGCTTGAATCAGTAGGTCCATCAAAAAAAGTTAAATGGGCTCACTGGTCCAAGAGTGTACACTCATTTGGGATAATTCCAAATTTAAGATGCCTAACATTACTTATTTTTTTTCAAGAGTAATGCTATGTTTGTTAAATTTTGGAACTAAATTAAGGGCCTAAATGACATGATAGCATTTTATTTGGAGCCTTTATTGGAGTCCAAATGACATGATACCAAATAAAGAAGCCCAAGTCAGCTGCCATATTATTTGAGCTCTTAATTTAGTCCCAAAATTTGGACAGTGTAACATTATTATTTTTTCAATCATTCATTCAAAAAGAAAATGGATAAAATCTTTATGGAATGATGTGAAACATTTATTACCATTAGATAACTTAGTCTTTTTAATACTGAATTGTGTTCAATGACTATATTATTTTTAAATTTTTTTTTTAAGGACTATATTATTTAATGTGAGAAATTTGGTAAATATAGTAGATACAAGTATCACAACTGATGCTAAAAACATTCAATTGTCATTGAGTGGAGCAATTGCTTAAGTATATAAAATAATTTTTGGTGGTCTTAATTATTTGATCTAAAATACAAATTCTCGCATGTTGGGGCTATAAAAAAAAGCAGACAAAATTTCACATTAGGGAATTCAAATGCGTAAAAGGACCAGGTCCACCAACTATCCAAAACCCAACTCAAAATCAATTAGCAATGAAAGAAGAGATCTTTTAATCCCATAAACAAACCCCAAGTAGTTTTAATCATTCGATATGTAATACAAACTCTTTTTACAACAATATTTGCATGTCTAAGTCTGCATTTGTATGTATTTATCGGAACAATTTATGTCACCTATATGTTCTTCCATTCAAAAGTATAAGGAAATATGATTTTAAAGTCCCATATAGCCATCTTGAGAAGGCAGGATGGATATGTTAGTACGAGAGTACGAGTCTGAATAATATGGGACAAAGCGCTATTGCGAGTTCAAATTTTCCCAAATCTCAAGGGATGGAGTATAATAATTGCAAACATCAGGGGTGATTTGTATAATTCGATCACAACCATAGTTATAGAATAAAAACTGAGAAAAGAATCTATATTTCACCAAGAAAAAAGTCAACCCAACCCAATTCCGCTAGTGAAAAGTTAGGCACTTTGATAGTTTTTTATGAAGTCACCCAATTTTGTTTGTGCATCTTTCTTTCCGCCATACTTTCGGCAGAATAAAACCTTAATGTATCAGGATTGTATGCCTGGAATAAATTGTACAATTTTAAAAATTACAAAAATAAAAGAGTATATCCCTCTCTCTTAGTGTCTTTCCACTTCCGTGGTAAACAGTACTTATGAGGCATGGTTTAGCTATTAGCCACACACTAACACTTCTAACTGTATACATTTCTAATTACCAAAGGAAAGTCGAGTGCATTGCCTACATTGACATAAGTTTTAATCCTTAACTTCTTCAAGCTTGCATTAGCTGAATTTAAAATTAGCCAACTCAACAGCAGCGTGGGCGGCAGCTGATCGATGCAGGCTCTGCAGGAGCGATAGCAGCTCGACGCTTTCCAAGTTATCAGATGATTGTGATCTCGTGTCCTCCTTAATATCAGTCACTGGCTGTATCCAACGTGGACAAATCACTGGCAACACTTTGGAGACCGAAGGTACTGGACTTGTTTAGTCTTTGTAGACTTGCTAGCACTACAAGAAAAATCATTGTTAGCCGCTAGATTTAAGTTAGCATGTACAAATATTGTCACTGAATGAATATGTTTAGTGGCAAAAATTTATTATCACCATTGAAAGTATGATATTAAAATTATTTAATGACCACAATAATTTGTCACCACTAAAGATATATAATTAGTGGTGAAAAAATATTGTTGTCACTGAATATATGTTAGTGAATCTAATTAGTGACAATTTAGATGTTATAACAAAAATATATTACTAATTCATCACTAATTCCAAATATTTAATGACAATAATTTAAATTTAGTCACTAATAATATAGTTTTTTAGTGATAAAATTTTTTAGTTGTAACAAATATGCCCTGTTTTAAGCTGCATTTTTTTTTTGCCACTGAATGTCAATTTTAGTATAAATTTTGGCGTTTAATAGAAAAACGTCGCCTCTTGTTGGGCACAAATTTATGGATTACCAATGTTTATAAATAACTTAACAATTTTAACGAACACAACATCATTTCACATTCACCCCCACCATGTCACTTCTTCACATGTTAAATCTTTCCCCTTTCTCTCTCTCTTTCTCGCTCGATCGATCTCGATCTCTCAACTCCTTCGCCGTCACGATTCCCACTGGTTTGAAGACTTCCTTGAAGACACCTCCATCGCCACCAGTGCCCTAGCTGTTGAGAAGGCTGAGCTTATTTCGAAAATCACCGAGAAGAAGATTAAGGTGCCATCATCGTTCTCACTGCTTAGGTTAGTTTATTTTTGTTTCATTTTTTCAAATAGAGTATTCTTGCTATGTTTTGACTGGATTTCGTCCGTTGGATATCCTATATGTTTGCTTTAATTAATCTCGGTTGGATTTACTCATGTTTGGATCTATCGAAGTTCCAATTATTCTGTGCATAATGGGAAATTTTTTAGAACTGTGAGGTAAATTTTTTAGAATTTATATAATACTCATTTATTTGATTAATAAAGCCCGTCCACTTCGTTAATTTTAGTGAAGATTTTGTTTGATTTGTCGAATTTTGTTAATTTTGGCGTTTTAGTTTGACCTAGGGTTTGTGATTTGGACATCTTTCTTGTATGGGCAATGAAGGCTTTGATCTACTAGATTGGTTTCAGTTTAATAGGGATGATGACAGTCTCACATCTATTATTTTATTATGAATTTTCAAGTTTTTAGTGAATTGAGAATCCTTTTATCCACGAGATTCCCAATCTCACATAGTTATTTTGTAGCTACAAAGTTATTTGATTGCAGTCAACAATTTTGTTTTTGTAATAAACGAAAAAGTTTGGGTGTATATTTTGTTTGTCAGATGAATGTCAAGTTTTATTGACAAACATCAGAGGAAGAATGTTATCATGTTGAAACTTGCAAGCACTAGCTTTTGGTTCCATACATGGAGCTCTGCATTCTTGTATACAAAGAACTAGTCATTCAGATGATTTAAATAGGTACTGACTCGATCTTTTTCTTGAAGTTTACTTGGGCAGAATCAATGTTTATTTATTTATTTTTGGTAAGTAAGATGAGTTCATAAAAAAAACCAAAGAAAATGTACAAGGTGATTCCATGGGATGGTTGATCTTCTGAACAGGGGAGATGAAGATCAACCATCCCAACAGCAAAATAAAACAAAAAGGATTACAAAATCCAAAAGGATTGAAATAAAAAAATGTACAAAACAGAAGCTTATCTGAGCATCAAAGATGAGCAGAAGCCTGAACAAAAACCATCTAGTATAGATGGGAAAGAGGAAGTAGCCAGCAAAACTAGCAACACCAGCAGACTTAAGGATGATCAAAAAAAAGGAGAATCAGCCTCAAGTATAACCATCAACCAACAATAACATATTTACATTTTCTTCCTTGAATGCCAAAATAAATGATAGAATCTGATCCTCCAGTCCATGCATCAGCAAGAAAGAAAGCAGTAGGAGGCACCCATATCAAACAAGAGCCTCACAGGTAGAATAGGGCTCCAACAAAGCCCAAAGCAGCAGTAGCACCAAAGGAAAGAAATCCCAACAACATAACAAAGAAGAAAAACAGGCATCCAAAGTTTGATGTAGTAATCACAAACAGTTCAAGGGGGTTCAAATGTAGTCTCTGGAAGATCCCATTCTCTTTGAAGCCATAAATTTGAGGGAGATCTCCGATATCCTTTGTTTAGATGAAGTTTGAGCTTGATGTTATCGATAACCTCTTTGTACACAGTGCCAACATGGTGCATTTCCTTTATCTAGTCACCATTATAACTGTCTTCTTTTTTTATTTTAAATCCGGTACTTAGCTCTCATACACTCATGTTCCAGTGTGCCTAACCCCTACAATTGAATTCTTGTGGAATTTTTTGTATAGTCATTAACAACAATATGTTTGGCCTAATGAACTTAACATTACTATTCTGAAAATCATACCTCTTTTGGTAAGCATTTGTATTTGCAGTAGATAATTTCATTCATATATACTAGCTTAATGTCTAGTTCTTATTGTTTTTGTATATTTTCATTTTCGTTATGAAAGAATTCTAAGGGATTTATGAGTTGGAAAGGTGGAAACATGGCAACAGGTTTTAGAGATTGCAAAGGCTATGAAATCTGCCAGTTCACCCAGGTGACCTTTTCTTTTCTCTATCAATGTAACTCTTCACGTATATTTTAGATATGTTCTTCAACCCTTGTATGTAGCACCCTTGATTTGTAATGTAACCTTGTGGTTTTTCATTGGCATTAGATCTTACATTATTTGTTTACTTTCTTATGTAATATTGACCAGCAAAAGTTCACTCTCAAAGAAGACCCTTATGTAATATTGGTTATTTTGGATCTGTGGACTTCAAGGTATGCACATTGAAACTTTGTTGTTGTTTATGACTTTTAACTTTTGGGGAATGGAGATAAAAACATATTATATATTGCTTCCAGACCATTTTTTATTCATCTTGCAATATGATATTTAGTCCAGGTGTGGGTGTGGGTGTGGATGTGTATTGTTTAAGATCTAGATGGCTCGGTCAATGTGCATTGATGAAAATGGTTTAGACACAAATGTTTGTACACACGCTCACTCACTCATATGTGCATATATGTTGGAATCTTGATGTGCCCTGTTATTCCAATTGAATTGGACGTAGAATGAGCTCTTTTTCACATGTCTAAAACTTAGAGTGGGATAAAATAATATGAAATTACTGTGTTCACCTACTGCTTAAGCTGCTTGTGGGTACTCCTTGTTGCAGGAAATATGCTGATGACATATATTCTACCTAATTAGCTATAATGCCTAGTGTGATAACATTACAGACAGTAGGAGAATCTGCATTCCTTTTCATTATAAACAAAGCGAAGGCGCTACTTAGCCCTATCAAGCAAGCAAGAATGAAGGCCCGTGCGACACCCGGCGTTAACACTTCCCAATCTGGAAATGCTAACCACAGTTTCAATGGTAACGGGAATACGCCTGACGGCGAAAGCATACAAAGAGAGTGACGCTTCCATCGCTTAGATTTAGGGCGATAGGGCGCACCACAGATACGAGAAGAAGCACCCCTCAATCGATAGGTCAAAGACAGAAACATAGTACCAGTTACATCTCTAATCTTTGATAAAATCGGGGTCTTTTCCGCATAATAGCGTCAACCAAAGACCGGAGCATCTTAGCAGACACTGGAGAGAAATCCCTAGTCAGCACAATTTCTGCCAATCAGCTTCATTCTTTAGAGGCTATATATTTTAATTGGTTTTAAAAAATTGGAGGAGAATCGTAAGATTAGAAATTACTCATCTTAATTTTCGATCTGACAATACAACTAGATCAAGTCTTGTTGAAAGAATCATTAGGTTCATGAATGTGTAAAATATTTGCTTATTTATTTTTTGAATTGTTTATTTCTCTACTTGTCCAATATCAGATAAAGGTATCATTCTATTTTTTTTTAACAAAAACAATCCCAAATCAGGTGGTGTTCCTCTATTTTGAGAACATAGGTATCAGTTTGTGGTAAATTTGGAGGCAAAGGAACTGTATTTTCACACACAGGACCACTTGATTTCATGGGAGCTTGGAAGCAGCACTTAGATTATGGGTACCATGTCTCCTCTTTTTATTCAATGTCTCCTCTTAGATTATGGGTACCAAGTGGCAATCTCATAGGGCTCTCTGCCTCTGTCAGTGGAACAGCAAGTTATGTAGTCTTGATTTTCTTCAATGAATTTCTATTAATGTTGGATAATTTATGTTAGGTACAAACTATAGGATTTGTCTCACTAGAAGGTAAATTTTCACGGGCGTCTAGTTTGGAGGGAGCCCAAGAGAGTGCAAGTCCAACGTATATTTTCTTTCATTAATGCTACATTGACTAAATTTTTGGATCAAATTTAGAGCCCAAATGACATGTTAGCTGACTTAAGCTTTTTTATTTAGTGCCATGTCATTTGGGCTCCAATAAAGATTCCAAATAATATACTGCATTGTCATTTGGTCCCAAATTTTGGTCAGTATAACATTACTCATTTTCTTTTGGTCCATCCTACAGATTACATCAAGAACTCTATAAATGATTATTTAAAGTTGCGTAAGTAGACATAAAGGTTTACTAGCTTGTTCAACATGAGACCATTTTAAGCTTGTTCACCTTACATTCACCCACATTTTCTCAAAAATCACTAAGGTGACCCATAGAGCCAACATTGATGAAAGAAATTGTGAAATGATGCATCACTATACATCATTTTCTCTTGGTAATTGATGATAGCTTGTGGCATTTTGCAACCTGAAGATTACCAATCTTCTAACTTCTTCCATTCTAATCTGTCTTTCATTTGCTTTGCAAAAGAAATTCGAGAACTAGGCTTATCCTCTCTGTTGTATTAAAATGACAGACATCTCTAATGGCCTATTTCACCCAAAGTATCTTGTTTTTAATGATGTTTGCCAATTCATAATTATTAGAATTTTTGAAGAATGGTAGCATTACAAGCTCCTATGCAAAAGCTATCGAGCAGCACGCCTAACGATCATGATTGGCTCACAACAACATGACACAAAGTTTTACTTCAACTGATGGAGAACTAACAGAAAGCTTCTCAATTATCTGCAAGAAATAGAGTCAGAACAAATGCAATTCATAACCTCGACTTCGCAATTGTCTTAATTTGGTTTTTTTAGCAATTCACATTTGGGGCGAGGCAAATGAGAAACTAGTGTTTAAATGGGACATTCACTCAATAGGTACGTAGCATGGCAATCGAAATATGATATATAACTACAAAAGTACATAATTGCTTCAAAACTAATCACTATCAGAAGTAAAAGAACAAAAAGCAATAAGCAACCTTAAAAGCTTAGGCAATTAACGAACAACTTAGATGTGTGGATTACCTAGTCAATCCTTTGTGGAATATTCGATCTTGAGATGTGTGGATCAATAACTATTTTGAGAAAACTAAGAAGATCTTAAAAGGAAGTACAACAACTTAAGATAAGTTTGACTAAAAGATGTTAAAGTTAATACTTTCTTGTGTTATTTTGTATTTGAGCTAAAAATATTATATTTGTAATTGGGTCATAAAATGTTAGTGTGTGTTTGGGTCATGTTTTGTTGTATTTAATTAGGCCCAAGGATAGAAAACTTCAGAATATATGGAGTGTCTAGATAAAGTGTTAGATACTTTTCTACAATATATAGAGTGTCCATATACAACTTGTAAGAGACTTTTCTAAAAAATAATGGAATTAAAAATTTAGTTCAAAAGCTTCGCCTGTATTTCTTGTTTGTCTCTTGTTTGTTTAATTAATCAAAGTTCAAGTCTAATTTAAGGCCAACAGAGTGGTATCAGAGCTCAGTTTGACGACAACAACTGGGTGTGAAGATTTAGTTCGGGAAAACAAACCCCGGTGTCGAAGAACGTGGCGGGTTCAAGTAATCAAAATTTTGGAACTCAACCACCTTCGTTTCCACAATTTGACAGTGAGAATTATGATTTTTGGTGTGTAAAAATGAAGATCCAACTTATTACAAATGATTTGTGGGAGTACTTTGAAAATGGGTATGATGACCCCAAATATGTCGATTCTTTGATGGATGCTCAAAAGCAAGTATTGAAAGCACATAAGAGGAAGGATGTAAGAGCTCTCTCAATGATTCAACAAGGAGTTTCAGACAAGATTTTCCCGAGGATGACCAAGGCAAAGGATGCTTGGGATATTCTTCAAAAGGATTATCGGGGCAACTTGAAGATAAGAGCAATTAAACTTCAATTTTTGAGAAGAGATTTTGAAAATATGAAAATGCAAGATGGTGAAGTGTTGCAAAATTATTTTTCCAGATTGATGGAAGTTGTGAATCAAATGAAAATACATGGGAATAACATAACTAATGAAAAAATTGTGGAAAAAAATTTAATTACATTGACGATGGACAATAACCCCATTGTTGCGGTTCTTGAAAATACTAACGACATTGAAACCCTGAGTGTTGAAGAATTGATGGGTTTAACTAAATCATTTGAGCAAAGATTGAGTAAGCAAACAGAGAAGTCACTTGAAAGTGCTTTCCAATCTAAGCTTAATGTTTGTGGTTCTAAAACTCAAGTAAGCTCTTGGAATTTCAATCAATCGGAAGGTAGAAAAAGAAAAGGTAAATTTGATAATACAAAAGGTGGAGGAAAGAATAATTTTTATAAGAAGAATTTTCAAAGACAAGGAAATGAGGAGTCCACCCAAAAAAAAGTGTAAAATTTGTAATCGCAGTAGTCATGTGGAGAAAGATTATTGGTTCAAGTGGAAGCCACAATGTTATAATTGCAAGAAATTTGGGCATGCAAAGAAGGATTGTAGAGTAACCAACTAACAAGCTAATTTTACCATAAAAGAAGAATTTGATGGGAACATGTTTTATGCATGTCATAATGCTTTGGAGAAAAAATATGATGTTTTGTTTGTTGATAGTGGTTGTAGTAACCACATGACCGATGATGAAAACATTTCTTGCCAACCTTGATGTTTCCTCCAACTCTCAAGTCAAAATGGGTAATGGTGCCTTGGTTTAAGCAAAAGGAAAGGGTACTATTGCGGTGGAGACCAAGAAAGGAAGAAGATGCATTAAAGATGTTTTACTAGTTTCGGACTTGAAACAAAATTTATTGAGTGTTGGTCAAATAGTGAAGCATGAGTATGTAGTTCACTTTGAAGATTATACTGACAAGATTTATGAAAAAGGGGGGAACAAGCAAATGGTGGCAACAACCAAGATAGAGGAAAATATAAGTTTTCTGCTCACTTTGAGGTATGCAAAAAATATTGCTTTGAAGATGAATGTTGTGGATGAGACTTGGATTTGGCATAAGATTTGGCCACTTGAATTTTCAAAGTTTGAAGTATTTACAACAAAAAGGCATAGTGCATGGGTTGCCAATGATTCAAGAAGTCAAAAAAGTTTGTGAAGACAATGCTCTTGGGAAACAACACCGGAAGACATTTTCAAAAGACAAGGCATGGAGAGCTAAAACATCATTTGAGCTTATTCATATCGATGTGTGCGGGCTTATGGACACAACAACTCATTGAGGTAATAAGTATTTCATTACTTTCATTGATGATTTTTCTAGAATGACATGAGTTTACTTTATGAGACAAAAATTGGATATGTTTAATGTTTTTCAAAAATTTCAAAGTCTTGTTGAAAGACAAAGTGACCATCTTATGAAAGTGTTAAGAAGTGATAGAGGTGGTGAGTATAACTCTAATAAATTTATGAAGTTTTGTGAAGATATTGGGATGGAAAGATAATTGATCATTGGATACACTTCACAACAAAATAGAGTGGCAGAGAGAAAAAATAGAACAATTGAATAAATGTCTAAATCAATGCAAAAATAGAACAATTGAAGAAATGTATAAATCAATGTTTCATAAAAAGGATTTGCCCAAAATTTTTTGAGGCAAGGCCGTTAACACGGCAGTTTTCTTGTTGAATAGATGTCCAACAAAAGTCCTTTCAAACAAAACTTCATTTGAAGCTTGGAGTAAAAGAAAGTCATCGGTTAATCACTTGAAAGTGTTTGAGCATATTTGTTATGCACACGTTCCTAAAGAAAAGAGACATAAACTTGATGAAGTTAGTGAAAAATGTATTTTTGTGGGCTATATCACTCAATCAAAAGGTTATAGGCTCTACAATTTGAATAAAGATAAGTTGATCATTTTAAGAGACGTCATATTTGATGAAAAAGCCTCTTGGGATTGGAAAGAAAAGAAAGTACAAAATCATTTTTCTCTAACTTATGAAGAGGTGGAGAGTGAAAGAAGTGATGATGAGGACTTTGATGTTCCAAATCAAATATCTCTGATTGTTAGCCAACAATCAACTCTATCAAGCTCAAGTTCTACATCTCCAAGTTCAACTTCAAGAAAAATGAGAAGTCTTAGTGATGTGTATGCAAGATGCAACTTTTGTGTAATTGAATCGAAGAACTTTGAAGAAGCAATT